AGACCGCACTAGTCGCTGGACAAGGTCGATGTCCTGCTGCTTTCCTGGATCTTGTTCTCTGAGTGGATCAAGCCCGGGAAGGTCGACGATCGTCAGGTGAGGTCGATTCGGCCCCGAGATCTCGATCCGAAGGACATCGTTGGAAAAGGGCGTTATTCGCCGCTGAAAAGTCCCATTGCATCTTTGGCTCCGTCGATCAGAATGGGCACATCATCTAGAGCGGTTAGTGACTCCCGGAATTGAGCTAGCTGCTCGCATTCGGCTTCGGGGCGATCTTGGCTAGGCACAATGGACACTGAAACACCCTCCGTTGCTGTCCTTCGCAGTATCACCTCGGTAGCAAACCGCGTACACAGGTTGTCTTTTGTCGGAAATGGGATTCCTGAGATAGCGTCCAGCACAGAACTCTTCCCAGATGACTGGTCCCCGCAGACGATCAGCTGTGGCAGCGAAACATAGTGGCTGATTCCCTGTGATCGAAGCTTGTCAATTGCGTCAACCAGGTCGAGCTCGTCACTGGATTGGAGATTCCGCATTTGAACCTGCGCCGAACCGTCGGCCATTGCCTTGGAAGCGAAATCAGTATCTGGGGGTTCGACGTGTCAATATCAAACTGTCTTGTCCGCCACCTAATAAGATAGGAAGAGAGATCTCGTTCCATGCGGCGGTGAGTACCTATATTTATAACTCGCTGTATGAAAGTCTATCTTCCATGGCCTCGTTTTTGTGGCCATTGGTCATGTCATGGAGACAAAACTCCTCGCTTAGAAACAAGGATAGTACACAGATTCTAAAAGAATGTGATAGATCGAATTTGCGCGCGGCCTAATAAACCCGTCAAACCAATAGGGGTCAACGCAGATCTCCTTGGGCTGATGGTGAACCTTGGTAGGATCACACTTTGTAGCCACGTCGCCGCTCGGATGCATAATGTGTCTTGGAACGGAAGCGGGGGTTTCCTACAAACGGCAGGTTTGCAAATGATCATCGTCAGAACCAGAGCCAGGCTGACCCGAGAAAGACAACGGATTGAAGACGAATCAGTTGGTGTGACCACGCCCTTTCCCTTGTGTTGGAAACTTTCCGCTGTTATCTAGCGCCGCCTTGGTGCATCTTGAGGAAAGCCTCTGTGAATATCGTAGGCTCTTTGCTGGGCTCAAAGGCTGCAATGCCAATATCTGCGCGCTAAGCCAAAAGAGGGATGGTGCACCCGGTGCTTATGTGAGCTGGCACAGTTGCTGTTGAGAAACAAGTGATAGTAGCGTGTTCAGATTCTTGTTATTTTTGTTTTCTAGAAGGGGGAATGCCTAATATATATACAGATACATGTTTCAGTATGTGTTTCAGATCTCTTACACACCACCGTGATACTCAACAGTTGCGCTGACACCAGTTCCGCTGACACAGGTCAAACTGACCTATGCCGACTGTTACATATATACATAGTTTCTAGGTCAATAATACTCAGCGACGACTCTTTTTTGCTACCTGTTCCGCAGGCTTAAACCTGTTAAAAACGAACTCAAGCTGCCCGCCTCCAGTTGCTTGCTTCATTGGAACCAAGAGGACTGTGTTTGTTCCATCTTCTCTCGCCACCCGAAAACAATCGGAAGGTCTGATGTCCCGGCTGTCTTTGTCGCACGGGGTGAATCCGACCCCTTTTCGCCGGTATTTCATCACCAGCCGCTCAACCGCGGAACAACGTTCGTCCTGATCGATTTCGGCAGGGTCCACTAATACTATGTCCGCCTCCTTCCAATTCCCCCGTTCGAGAACTTTAAAAACGATTCTGATCCTCTCCTGACCTGACGCAACCTGTAAGGATGCTTCGGGACTTGGTTCGCCAGAGTGTTCATCTTTTTCGGGTCCTTGTCCGAGTAATCTTCTCAGATCAAGCTGGGTGACTCGTTTGGAATTTTCTGTCTGCGCAGATACACCCTGCTCTGTTTGTTTATCTTGTGCTGCTTGTGCTGCTTGTGCTGCTTGCGTAACTTGCTCTCTATCTACTTCATCTGGGTAGTCTTCTGTTTCAAAGAGTTCTTCTTGGTTTCGTAGTTGCTCCATGTGTTTAGCCTGTTCCTGTTCTGCTCTCTCTTCCATCTCTCTGCTAATTCTTTCTTGCTCTGCTAGCTTCTCTGCCTCTCTTTCGGCTTCTCTTTCGGCTTCTCTTTGCAACCGCGCTTGCTTCGCAGCTAGCTCCGCGGCAGCTCTCTCTTCGGCCTCTCTCCGCAGTCGTTCTTGCTCAGCAGCCAGCTCAGCTTCTCTTTGTAGTCGCTCTTGTTCAGCAGCAAACTCGGCGGCAACCTTCTCCTCTGCTTCTCTTTGCAATCGTTCTTGTTCAGCGGCTTGCTCGGCGGCGGCTATCTCTTCTGATTCTCTACATAATCTTTCTTGCTCCGCTCTCTCCGCAGCTGCTTGTTCTTCGGCTTCTCTCTGTAGTCGTTGTTGCTCTGCTAGCTCCGCAGCCGCTCTTTTTTCTGCTTCTCTCTGCTGGCGTCTTTGCTCGCGGCGTTCTCTTTTTTGCTCTCTTCTGTGACGAGCCTCCTCCTGGCGTACTTGTTCTCGGCGCTCCTGCTCTCGACTTACTCGCTCACCTAGTCTGGCCTCTTCCATCAGGGTATCCTCCGGCACGAACAACGGTTCATCGGCAGGTGGTCCGGAGTGAAGCTCATTGGAGCTATGAGGAGAAGGCTTGCCGAAAAATGCAAAATACACACAGCGTCGGACAAACAGGGTGGTGATTCTCTCGCCCACTTGCACCCCGTCGGTGTGAAGATGGTCCATGAACAGAAACGGACTATCCTGTCTGTGGACTTTGGTGGTGGGAAACCCGCACCGGGCTTTGGGCTTGACCGAACTGTCGACGATGAGCTCGCACGACGGTTCTGGCTCGCAGGGCTCAGCCGTCGAGAAACATCCGACGATCCGATCGACCAGATTGTCGAACATGCTCGGATCGTATCGGTAGCAACCGGGCTTTCGAGCTTTCAACAGAGCACCACGTGCGATCAGTCGATCCGGATGCTCTTCGATAAGGTTTGATATCTGTGGGGATTCGAACCCCAGCTTGCGCGCAAGAACTGCCATCTGATATAGCACGGTCTCGTCCGCCTTCTCGCTTGCGGCCTTGGCCAGTCGGTCATCGCCGTTTTGGCTCTCCTTCGCCGCTTCAAGATGGTGCCGCATCGCGTACATCCAGATCTGCCGGTATCCGAGATCGAGTTGTCTCTCGGTGTTTCCGGGCGTCCTTCTGAATCCGTCATCTGATGTCTGGATCAAGCATTGTCCCTCGCTCTGGTTCCTGTTCGTGAAGATATGTTTCATCGCCTGCCGGACGGTAGGCGCTTTATCGGAGAGCTTGACGAGGCGCCTCACGCAGTGGGCACAGGATTCCAGATACTTGAAATCCTCGAAGAAGGTGAAGAGCGACGGGATCAGACCATCGAATGCTCGCAGTCTCCCCCAGATGGCAGAACGTTCCGGCTCGCTGAAGGCAGAGAATACCTGGCCGCTCAGCACGAGGCCCTGAACTTTCCTTGACTCGGCACTGGAAGCACCGGGAGCCATCAGCTGCAGGGTTTCCACCGTATGCTGGTCGATCTTCGCCAACCGCCGCCGAGTCTCCGCGGCGCGCTGGGCGGCATCCGCAATGTCCGATGGATCGGGCGTGACAAAGGAGGTCCAGGACTCCTTCACGTGCGTCAGATAGTTGATTATTTCCTGCTCACACGTTAGAGCAAGCCAGTAACCTCGTAGCTGTAGGGACCCACTTCATCACATTTGAGACCGGTCACTTTGCCCAGCATACTGATCCTCATCCCACCCCGGCACCCAGGAATCGGCAGTAGCACAGCGTTGAACGCGGCGCGGAGCTCGACATGGTTGGATAGCTGTCGGAGCCGGTCGCCTTTGCTGCTTGACGACAACCGCGCCCACCATCTCTTTTCAGATCGAGCATTTCCTTCCTCCTGATATTGTCGAATCTTACAGTAGATCTCGCCGTCGCTGGGCTCATTTTCATTACAATATTCTTCTTCAAGCGTAGTTCGCAGCTGCTCCCCAATATCTGTACAGAGTGATCAGTTTCAACCTAGCAAACCTACAGCGCAGCGAGACATCTTACCATCTAGGTATAAATCGACCGTCCACCAGCGATCGGTGGGCGGTAGAACCTTACGGCCAACTTTGATTCGGTGTCGCCCATGCAGGCACTTGACATTCTCGTCGGGAAAACATAGGTGCTGGTAGAGTTCGGCACTATTAGTCAGCAGGGAGCCCGCAGTGGCACCTGCCCTTTGTAAAGACGCCTCCAGGTTTCGACGGGAAACGGTGCAGACAACATGGTTCCGGTCATCCAGGCGAAGACAACCTTCCTTTAGGAAGATTCCACGCAGCCGTTTCAGCTTCTTTGTGTCACTGTCGAGCGGAACTTGAATTTGATTCAGGTTGATTTTGGCTGTGCCTTGGTATTTGAGGCGGCGCTCAGCCGCCAGCCGTATTTCTGCTTGAGTGAGTAAGGCCATGGTGAGACCCGTTATTCATATTTGGAAGGAGATGATCTGCCTTTTCCTTCCACGTGGACGGCGGGGAGCATTTTATATGCCTCTGATGGCCTCAAAATGGAGCGCCACGCCTCGCTTCCCAAAAACGTGGCCCTACTCCATTTCGCCGGGGAGCCAGAAACGGCTCGCGGCGCCTATTTATACCTCGCGGCTTGTCCCACTGACCTGAGAGACTACCTTTGCACATCATTTACAGTACAGTATCAGACATGTCAGCACCGGCCGATAAACGCTACACCCAATTCAATCTGGGACCTTTGGGAGGTGACAGGCTCTCCTCTCAAAGTCCGGCTCCGACCCAACCACCAAACAAAAGAAAGGGCTCTCCTTTCCAGGAGCCCCCTCGGAAACTTCTGAAAGGCAAGCCAAGAGGTCTCTCCCTTCCCGTCATCGTGAGCTCGGGTGATCGGGCGCAGCAGGCGCTTGTGGTCCGGAACGAATCTCCGTGGGACACGTTCAGCAGGGTCTATGAGTGCGAACTGGCAGGACCGGTGGCCGTGGTGGAACGCATCGTCCGCCCCTCCACCGTCCTCGCCGTTAGGGAGTTTTCCAAAGAAGCGATCGACGAGACGTTGGACAGATTCAAATGTATCCGACATGACAACATCATTCTCGCCCAGGAATGCTTTCTGACCGCAGATCTTCTCTATGTCGTCTTCGAACATCAGCCGGTTTCTCTGGACCACCTGGTCGCTTGTAGAAAATGGCCCAACGAGATCCAGTTAGCTTCCGTCGTGGCACAGGTAAGTCTCCATTACGATAACCTTTGTGGCGCGTCTAATGCATGGTAGGTTCTTAACGGCCTGTCCCATCTAGCGGCAAACGGCCTCGAACACAGATCTCTAAGCTGTTCCGGCGTCCTGGTGGGCTGCGATGGGTCAGTGAAGATCGGTAAGCCAGATCGTCGTTGATGGATGTTGGACTCTTGCTGATGACATGCTGCAGCGAGGCTAGAGAGCTGTCAACCGCGCCCACCGAATCTACCACGGGAGCGAGAGATCAAGGCGTTGGGAGTTGTGGTGATGGAGCTGATGGACAAAGACGCCAAAGAGGAGGGGGCCATCGGGGTGAGCGACCTTCAGCGTTGGCCGACGGGCTCCGATGCGGTTGGGTTTCTGTCGGCGACCACTTCTACGGATTGGCTCGATGAGTTGATGAAGGTAAGTTTCCGTCGTCAGTGTGCAACCATCTGCGGTCTTCTCACTCGCTCTAGCATCCGCTCTTGACAAGGCGACGGTGGAGTAAGGGTTACCTCGTCGGGCTGGTCTCCTTCGCCCTGATCTCTGCGCGCACGTTCTACTCTCGCTTTGATTGACTGCAATTACAGTGCAGCTGCCCACCCAACCATTAACATAGCCTCTCGTTGAATCTATTCTGGTACAGGGCCCAAGCTGATTTTGCAAGGCACTGTATCCTGCATATCGCCAAGGCGAGGGGTCAGGGTATGAATTCACCAGCCCACTGTACCACCTATGTCTGTGTAATTATTGTTTTTTAAGCTCTTTGTTACAGAAACAGCTCGGCCTTTTTTTAATGTAGTACTCTATTTTAAACTGTCACTGTGGCCCGGCGTCTGCCCTGAACCCAATGAGTGTAAAAAGAAAATCGCGAAACATAAGCATGAGGCAGCATAGTGAGATACATAGAATTTTTCACTTGGTCACCCACATATGGGATACATCAATTGCCGCTCACTGGTCATTTTATAGAGTTGAAGACATGTCGCATGTTCAACTCGGTTCATTCTACTCTAAGTACTATTCTAAGCTAAGTCTTATCCGGTTCAAATATTGTGCCATCGGAGATTGCCACCAGTGCAGTTCCCCATGTCAATCCGGTTGAAATTCAAGCTCCGACATCCTGACGTTGTCATGCAGATAGCCTCTAACGATCTCTCGCAGATGATCCCGCAATTCGCCCGAAACAGAAACTAAGTCGATCAGCACTTCCACCATGATCCTGTGGTGGGAGATCCTTACCCATCACGAGCACGTCCCCTCGCTCTTCTTGAACGTCAGTTAGCCGCTTGATGCGTTCACCGGACACCTCGGTCTGCAGAATATCCTGCAAGTCTGCTGAGCCTCCGTAGACAAAAGCACGTTCGTGTCCCCCAAACGGCATTCGGTCGCCTGTGATCTGGCCGGATTCCACGTAGATTGAAATGGTCAGGATCTATCGCTGCGGTTAGCTTGGTCAAGAAGCGGCCAAGGAACACGACCAAATACATAGCCTTCATCCAGGACGTCATCCTGCAGCAACTCGTTGAGCCAGGGCTGTACGGCAATCGCAATATCTGTAACAAGTCAGCCTAAGCCGCCCATCGTAGGAGACGGTCACACGCACCCAGGGTACGCAGCTGCCACACGAAATGCACCCGACGTGTTCGAGAAGTACTCGTATTGTACCCATGGATCAACTGCTTGAGATATGGAATAACCGGAGCGATGCCAAACCCGCTGGCCACTATCAGGACCGTTTCGTATTGCCCTGCAGGTTCACTGGTACCATGCGGCCCGCTGACCAATGCGGGAAAGGACAAGGAAACCCCATTGTCCACCTCCGCATGTCGAAGCAAATCAGCCGTAAGGCCTTGACGAGGTTGTACGAAGAGATCCAAAGAGCTCTGCTCAACTGGAGACCAAGACATCACCGTAAACGGATGGCTCTGCGCCCACGACCACCAGCTCACGGACCTCATCCACAGATTGATGTACTGTCCAGGGCGAACCCTCAGCGGCCTGGAGAGGGCAACACGGATCCTGATGGGTCTGGAGCTGCAGTTATCAGGGCTGCTGCTGTCCCCTCTCCCAACGTAAGTGACCGATGCTCGAGGGCAGCCGCGGGACGTGAAGACGCCATTTCGGTAGAGGAAGAGCACAGACTGTAGGAAAAGAGTCAGCAGAGAGGTACCCAGTGAGATGTACAGATAGAGCCGAGTAACGACTCCGTGGGATGGCAGGTGGCGCCAGATGGCATAGACACAAAGGCACGCGGTAATTTGATGCAGCCGAAGAAAGATCTCATAGGCGGGCCGGCGGAAGAATGGCATGAAAAACAGTGATAGTATTCCAAGAGACATGACACCCTGCCAGCCGGTTAGGTCAATAAGCTTGTGCGCGGTGCAAGAACTTACGATGAGTGCGAAGAGGTTGCCAGCATCACGCAGAGGAAAAGGAGTCCCGCCTCTCATCAGGACAGCATGAGTGGCGGAGAGGACCATCACCATCCAACCTGCAGCGCGATGAGAACCTCGACATCTCCGTAATGATAGCCAAAGAAGATCAGCGACGAAGCTGAGGTGCAACCCAGCAAAGAGGAATATCATGTTGATCAGCGACAGTGTCCCCGCTCGACGACCAGCGACCAAAGCCGACGGGCTTGGAAAGCAAAGACAGAACACATTTATTGCATAATAGAGGAGATGGCAAAGAAAATCAAAGCGGGTCCAAGGACCAAAGAGTTGATGGCGGTCAAGCAGGTACGGGTAAGTGAGATGCTT